CAATTATAATTTCTTATAATTTGTTACAGTACTTTTTACTGTCATAGCTCAAATTTATCACACTATCTTTGCTTTTACATTAAAAAAGGTTTTTCTTACCTTTATTCTATGCTTTTCTTCCAGTTCCTATGGTTTCATTTCAACCTTTGCTCATTAATCGAGCTAGAATTCATTTTTGTTTATGGTATGAGGAGAAATAAGTTCATATTTACCCCCACCCCCAATTCCCCAGTATGCATTTATTAATCTGTACTTGTTTAAAATATCACTTTTAACATATACTAAGTATATGCATATGTAGAACATCCTTCATAAATTCCTCATATTGTTTTTACTTTAAATTTTAATAAATTTTGATGTAAACATTCTAGGCATATCTATTGAACTACAGTCTCTTCTTATGAATGAAGTTCTCAATAGAATTTCATTCTGCTAGCCATAGAGCAGTCATAGTTTATTACAGGATCTGAAATTAAACTAAACCAATATCCTTGGTCATGTAATGTCACTGTCTCAAACAATATGCTTCTGAATTTCATCTATAATTTTTTTCTATTATGTCTAAAACTTACAAGAAATGTATGTATATTGTAAGGAAAGGTGAGAGAAAGAGAAAACAAGCCAGATTACAGAAGGAATTTCTAGTCATTTGACTTTATCCAAGATATTCCGTAATATTTTGATAGGGTCTTCACACTTACTTTCTCTTTGCCTTGTGATTGGCTAAAATCACTATGTTAGAATTCACACATAATGGGTTCAAGGCGTAAGTATCACACCCTCACATTAAAGCACACTCTGCGCCCATTCACATATGTACTCATTCATTCTAGGAAACATCTGTATTTCATAATACAATTGGAGACCAGGCCTTTGCCCTGAGGGTTTACTATCTATCAACGAAATCCGTGTATTTAGCTTTCTAACCAAAATAATGCTTTCTCATTCAAGAGATGCACTTATGCATCTGCTATTTATTTGGTACGCTTTCCCCCTTTCTATTACTCACTTCACAGTTTTGGTTTAGCAAATATATTGGGTGAAATGAGGAAAATTCTGTAGACCAGAACAGTAGGAAGTGCTAAATTGTCATCAAATAGTCAAGTGCTGAGTTTACAAGAGAAAGGTATAGTTTGGTACTCCAGCCACTTTGGGCTGGATCTTTCTAAGACTGCTATAATTTTGTTCCTAATAGACAAATTTCTTTGATCTATATGGAATCAAAATAATTTATGTCACTAGAATGCAAATAGAATTGACAACATTGAGAACAAACTGTACACTATGCCTGTGGTTTAAAAGTTATATAAAATGTAATATTTTAATATAAAATTACAACTATATAGCAAGCACTCATTTTTCAAAAAGATGAGCTACCAGAAAAAAAGACTAAGTACTAATATTCCATATTCTGTCCCAACTGCCTCTGAACTTGGTATATGTGTAAAATTATGGCGCTCTCAATGTCAAATTTATGTAAAGTGGGAAATCAGGTAAGGTAACCATTCCAAATTTTTTATTCTATAATTCACCAAAAAAAGGTCACAAAAAAATCAAGTTTTCACAGTCAAATGTTTTCTAGTTCATTGTCGCTTACCTTTAGGTTCACAACTTGATAAACAGAATTTTCAGACAAATGGAGGGAGAGACTTGAAAGGAACAGAAAGGAAGAAGGAGAAAAGAGATTCCTCAAAAAAAAAAGAGAGAGATTTCTCAACTAGATGAACCTATGAGGGGCAAATGACTCAGCAAAATCTTTACACTTAAAAATTATTTTTTTGCAAGTGTTTACCCTTGTTTGCCTGGTTGCATTTCTCTACTCGTGCTCTAAACTATTCCTTTTTCAGATTTAATCCTCTGTTTTCTTTTCTGTCCTTCATTCCTTCTTTCCTTCCCCCTTCTCCCTCCATCTCTACAATGGGTGAAAGCTACCTTCAGTGACTTACACTGGAATGCCCCATTCTGGTCATAAGCAAAGCTTCTGAAATTTCACCGATCCTGGTATCCCTCCTGGACAGAATGATTTTCCATACTAACTAACTCTCCTCAGCTGTGACCAAACAGATGGTTCCATACTTTTGAGCTCAACTAAAACATACTGTGAAAATCAACCCAATGAGCTTATCCATAATACCATGTGAGAATCCACTAAGCATATTCACTGCATATACTTCATTGCTTTGAAGTGGATCATCATCTTAGATCCTCTTAGTTGTGTCTTGTTTTTTTTTACTTAAAGTTAAGGTCTGTGTATAATGGCAAGACAAAACGAAAGTAACCAAACATAGGTTTGGATGGAAATAATTTTAAAATTAAAAATTAATTTTCATCACTATAACTTCTGGAAAACACAGCAAGGAGGGCTCTGAAACTGATGGTAAAGATGCTGAGAAACATAGCTCCTGTCTCAACTGGACATCCATTATAGACTAAGTATGTCTACATGTAGGCAGCCAGTAGTTTATAGTGTATTTTAACATCTTTAAAGAACAGTTAAATGATCAAATCCCTAAAGATACAGCTTTTTTCCCTTTCTTTGCCCAGGAATCTGTTTTGGAAGCCAATTCAATGATTACTACTAGGACATGGAATTTTGATATCCATTTGGTACTGATTTACACCAGTGTTTTTAAGGTTGCCAACAAGAAAGTCCAGAATTTCAAGCGGCCAAAATTCCACAAGACACAACTGTCTTTTATTTTATAGCTTATGAATTTGGGGCTTAATATGATTTTCCACTAACAAGTTCTGTACCCCCTCCAGAGTGCTAAAGCCGGTGTGTAGATCAGCAAAGTAACACAGAACATATGAGGCAAGTTAATATTAAACTTGAAGGAAAACTGTATAAATTATATTGTTTACTTAGGAAAAAAGCACTCTAGTTGAAAGAGTTGACATGTGATTTATTGCAAACACTTAACCAGCATGTTCACATTTTTACTCTCAACTCCCCTTGTAGCAGTGTTTTGGTTGTGGTGTGGCATTGGATACAATATTAATAAACTCATCAATTAAAAATCCACTAGATCTTGGTAAGGAGTAGCTCTAAATACTTCATGTCTTCCGTTTTTATTAAATGCCTAGAAAAAATGCAGAATCATGTTCAGAATAAGTAGTAAATCACAGGCAAATAACTTAGGGAAGAGTTTGATGGATGACTCTTTTTAAGCATAAGTAAATGAAGAACCTGTTTAATTAAAAACAAGAAAATGTTCTTGGTTCCTAGAAATAATTCTGTTGCAAAACAAAATTTCCACTTATAATTACAAAAAAAAAATCAGTATAGAATTTCTTCATATGCTCAAAGTAATCTTTTGAAGGAAGTCAAAGAGAGAATAAATACTGGAACACTGAAATGATTAACTGTTTTCTTTTTTTAGAAAAACTGTGAAATCTTCTTCCCCAGATGTGATGAAGAAAAGGAGAGCCATGCATCCATCCTTCAATTTTTAAGTGTTTGATGCCTAAATGACTTTCCATAGGATTCCAGGTTTGTCCAAAAATCTTCATGTTTCATACAATTTCTAACGTGGTTTTATACACTTGTGTTCAGTTTGAGTGAGCAAAGATATATAATTGATAAAATCAACACAGGAAGCCTTAGAATTATTTACCTACAATATTATCCAATTATTTATCCAGATATCAAGCATGGCATCCCGTGATGTTTTTCAGTAAAGAGAAATTAGTTATCTCACATAATTTTACAGATGAAGCCTATTGAAAAAAACATAAAGGAAATTTTCTATAGCAGAAGCCCATACTAACTACTAACAAAACCACACCAGATGCCCTCTACACTTGACATGAGAATCCTAAACTCTTATTCCAAAGCCTAGCCATGTTGCCTACTGTGGGTGACTTCTGGACCAACATCATCAGGATGTGCTCTGCTTTCCTAGAAGGGACAAGAGTCTTTGATGGATTCTCAGGCTCACCAGAGAGAAGGCCATAGCATTACAGGTGAGTACCACACAACACCACTATATTTCTGAAACAGTAGCTGCACAAAACAGAATTATTTTAACCATGTTGCCAAACTGCTCCATCTAATGACAGTCAAAACTAAACACGAACATGAACAAATGGAAGAAAGACTCCTGACATCTGTTCTTAGCTTTTATAATAGAAATATTTATATAAAAAAATCTTCATTTAAAAATATATTGCTAAATTACTCTATGAAATTTATTATTAGCTAATAACATAATTTTATCTACTCAAACTTTTAAAACTGACATTAAGTGGATAAATTATTTCTTACCAAAAGTTACTGCATCTAGAATAAAAGAAAATGAAGAAACATCTACAAATTAATCTTCAAAGTTTAATGTCTGTACCCATACCATGTTACAAGACAGAGCATTGAAAAAAAGAATCATCCTTCTATTTGTAAAGAAGGCCAAGGAAACACGTCTTAGGTGGCAGCCAACCACACACTTATTGCTTTTACTGATCCTGGCCCTCTATCAAGAACATGCATTTCTGGGTCATTTAATTAGGAATAATTTTCTTATTTGGCATGGAGTTATGACAAGTTTCATTCTTAATTTCTCATTAGATTTCCAAAAGACACCACATTAAAATTCACATTATGGCTAAACTCCACAGTGTGGCATTTGGGGAAAGTGGAGAAATGCATATCTAAATACATCAGATCTACAGAAAATCGCTTTACTTTAAAACTTAAGTTTATCCTTCCAAATTTCCTCTCTGTGTTACCTTCTGTCATATACTCCTTCTTGACTCAATCTTCACTAATTTGTTTTAGATATAGCAGTGCAATCAGTAGTGATTGACCAGAGTGCACCACACTTTATTTCCATTTATTTTCATATAAACATGTTGGTCGTCAGTCAAGTTCATTGTGTCCTTTGGAAATCTAATCATACAGAAAACTGGGTATCTCGGAATATGTGTTACTTAATACAGACAAAGTTGAGTCCTGAGAGCAAAACATAAAGGTTAAAAGAGGGGGCAACTTCTCATTAAGGCTGGAAGAAATTTGAGAAACTTAAATGATGAAGTTCTAAAAATCCTGATGAAATTATATCACTCACTCGTAGATAAGATGAAGCCGATCTCGAGAAGCTTGCGTAAGAATGTTTTGTTCAATCATTCATGACCAATGGTGAGCAGGGGCTGACATCACAGTCATTCTATATTTGAACTTCATCTTCTGCTTTGAGTTCATGGCACGTACCACTTGGATGTGTTCCTAATAATTCTCCATCTGACAACAGTGGAGTCATGGCAGGGGTCTGTGTGGTCAGTAGGAAAAGAGATGGAGAAAAACTGGGAGTCATGGCTTCTGGCAGAGAATTGAGATGGTAGAGAAGGGGGCAGTGTGGGTATTTCTGAAGTACTTGTCCCGGGGTTATGGCTGGCTTTCTTGGTGGAACTGCTTTAATCCCAGGATGGGCTACTGCTGTAATCAAAGGTGGTGGGAAAACAAAAGTTTTCTTCTCTTTGGGAATGCCAGGCATATGTAAGTGCTCGTCCTTTAGTTTTGCAATATCATTAAATACTGAGGCAAGGGGTTGGAACTTGGGTTCCCAACTGAGGAGATAATCCCAGTGATAGTTGCCTCTCACATCATGATCAGAGGTTCTCTGGGTCGAAAGAGCTGCACATCTTGCTTCCTGAGCACCTGAAATAAAGATGGACTCTTTTCTGACATCAGCCAGGATGCCCTCTTTTACCTCTCTCTTCTTTAGTGTCTGGGATAACACATTATTTTGAACATAGGTTGTGCCAGAGCCTTCTCCTCGATCTCCTTCTTCAAATGTATGGCTGGTTTCTGCTGTTTCGGCAGTGACCACCACATCAGTTTCCCCAGACAAGCAGGAGAGCTGGTCCGAGTCCCTCGGGATTCCAGAGTCTGGCACCCTGGACTCGCGATCACTCAGAGCTGAGCCAGACTCCTTTCTGTAAGGGTGCTCATTTATCCTCTGGATTTCCTTATCTTCTGCAGTTTCTCCTTCCACTGAACAGTGGCCACTGGAGTTTGAGTGCCTGTACAGATTTACAATGTCCTTCTCCATAAGACTCATTAAACTCAACCATTCAGGCATGGAGGCCATGGGCATCACCTCATTACTGCACTCATTAGTTTTCTGGAAGGGCTTGAGCATGCTGGCATCCCCCGTCAGTCTCAAATTGATATCTAAGGATGACGAGGCTTTCTTTTCTTCATAATTATTTATTGTGTCTTTTTGTTTATGTCTTAAAATCAGTACAATTAGAATGAAGATGAGTAACAGAAACACTAAAAAGGAGACTGCGAGGCTGATTGAAAAACTGCTGGCTGATACTGATGAGTGTTTTCCTTCTGAGGAAGAAGACACATTCACAAAAACGGTACAAAATGTGACCTTGGAGTCTGGTTTGGGGCTACGAGCGATTATTTTCATTTCAATGGTGTCTTCTTTGCTGACTTGACTTTTTATTAGGGGAAGGGCTCTAGTCAAATAAATATTTCCATTAGTTATATTTACTGAAAAGAAAGGAGATGGAGTTTCAAGGGAGTAAAGAATAACTCCATCGATACCAGCGTCTGTATCTGATGCTTCCACTCTACCAATCAACTGTCTTAGGTTATTCTTTTCTGGGAGGTTGAAAAAATATTGATCTTGAGTGAAAATGGGTTCAAACTCATCTACCCCTTCAATATCCACCCAAACCATTAAGGAGGCTGTTGAGTCACCTTTGTCTTTTGCCTGAACTGTGAAGCAGTATTTATTGTCATTTTCATAGTCAAGGACTTGCTTAGCATAAATATCCCCTGTTAAAGGGTCAATGAGGAAGGCATCATGGTCATGAGGCATCCCATGGGTGACAGAACAGGGTGATAAAATAGAATAGGTCAATTCTCCATAAGGACCTGCATCAAAATCCAAAGCATTTACAGAACAGATGGTGGAGAAAACAGGCAGATTTTCAGGAACAACACAGTTCAAGCTGGGGAACATAAACTGGGGTGCATGGTCATTATCATCTAGGACATTGACAAACACAACTGCAAAAGAAAAATGTTTCTTTTCTTCATCTGAAGCTTGGACAGTTAAAGTGAATTTTATCGTTTCTTCATAATCCAGAGGTTTAATCAAATAAAGAACTCCAGTTTTTTCTTCCAAGTGAAAATGCCCCTTCTCATTTCCAGAGATTATACGGTAGATGATTTCTGCATGAGAACCCACGTCATGGTCATTTGCTGAGACCACAGTGATGTGACTCCCTAGAGGGGTACTTTCCTTGACATGGGCATGATATTTCAGACTGTTGAATTTAGGTGGATTATCATTGACATCAAGCACTTCTATTGATACAATGGCTGTGGAACTCAATGGAGGGCAGCCATGGTCAGATGCCAGAATGACAAGCTTATGACTGGCAGTTGCTTCTCTGTCCAGATTGTGAACCAACACCAGATAACCAACTTGCTTATAAGGATATTCTGAATGAATGAAACTAGTTTCCAAGTGGAAATTGTTCTGTGAATTACCACTGATGATGGAATATTCAACGTATGTGTTTTCACGGGTCCAGTCATGGTCAATGGTCGAAAATGTGACAAGCGTCCCTCCAATTAGAGCATCTTCACTCAAGCTAAGATTATAATATTCTACTGCAAACTCAGGGGCATAATTGTTCATATCTTGTATTTCTATCTCCACTAAGGTAAGAGCCCTCAGGTCAGGAATTCCACCATCACTGGCTTCAACAAGCAATTGAATTGTTGATTTTTTATCCAGAAGTAATAAAGGATTGATAGTAAATATTGTGCCTGAAAAACAAGACATAGCATTTCAATGTTGTGAAATTAAATTTTCATGATCCATTTAGTTAGCAAATATTTATCAAATATTTACTAATATGTTTAGTTGTTAGATTTAAGTTACAACCGAGAGTAACTCCAACCAGAAAATTATTATAGTTATTTATATTTATATTATTATATTTATACTTTTGTGACACTTAAGATCCAGAAATAATATTCACGACATTCACTCTACTAAACGTGCATGCTGCCTGAAGATGACTTTGCCACAAATTTCTCTTAATTTTATTTTTATAGAGTAAGTTGTTCCATTACTTATTTTTTAAAGGAAAATGTATTCTTATTTGAAAAATTTATACCCCATTCTACTACCCACAGACACATGTATAGAGACATTTTAGCATAAAGATATTTATTCTGGAAATACTGGTTGGCACTCACTCTAGTCAAATGAAGATAGTAAATATGATAATGCAGAGTTACAACTATTGCTTAATTATACAGATGTCTTTCCTAAAGCTCTTGGTTAATTCAGCAAGTGGATTTTGCGCTTACTGATGAAATATTTAATAAATTTTGTCATTTTAAATATAGAAATTTGTATTTTTATAAGTATGTATGTAACTATATTTTTCTAGGATAAATGTGTTTTAAGTATGGTCACTAAAAAAGAATACAAAATGTTGTCATTTAAATGCCACACTTCAGTTAGAGTCCCATCATGAACTAATTGACCTGTTAACATCTAATATTTTAAAAACATTCTAATCAATATCTCATTGTAAATTTGTTGATAACACATGTCAAGCAAAAGTGTTGCTAGGATTGAGAGCGCAGAGGGAACACCTCGCACGCCGTGATGTGCTGTGGCCAGGGCAGCAGTTGCCACTGTCTGAGGCAAAAAAAAAAGAGACTGAGAGAAGAAAAGGAGAACCAAATTCCTGACATGTTTATATCATACATATTTGAATGTAGCCATTCATCCATTGGTTGTGTGGCAACATCACCTACTTCTCTCCATGTTACAACATTTCGTGGGCCTCATATGGGTATTTTGTGACTAAATTCTCCTTTCAGATAATGCTGAGGTTAAATTTTTTAATTGAGATATAATTGATATATAACATTATATTAGTTTCAGGTGTACAACTTAATAATTTGATATATGTATATACTGCAAAATGATCACCATGATAAGTCTAGTTAACACACAATAAGTCTAGTTAACATCCATCATCCTGAGGTTAATTTTTACATCAGCTCTCACTCGTGAAATGATGCCCTGATGGGTGGAGATGGGGAAAACACACTGTAATGTGTCCCCAGTCCTGTTCTTTTCTAGACTGAGCCCTGCTAGGGAAAGTGCATTGCTAATTATTCATCTTTATTGAATTTAACTTTTAAAGTTTACTCATCGTAAAACTTTCTCTATACAGTGCTTAACTATTCTAATCTGAAATCACTTGACTGAATGCATTTCCCAACCACAAATGTCTTGCTCTCTGATAAAAACACAAAGAGCTTTGGAAGGCATCAAAGAAACCAGAACACCACAATGGTTTTTACTTAGTAGAGATGCTTGAATAATTTTCCGTTTTCAATTTTTTTTTTGTACTTATTGAATATATGATGTTATTACTGAACTTTTTGTACTTGGCTTAGAAAACAAAGTTTCCAAACTCTAGTAACATGAAGTCTTCAGTACTAAATTAATCCTTTTGACTTGATTTTGATTCTTTGAGGCCTAGGATGACTACCTGAAATGCACTTGGTTGGACTGATGAACTGGGTGTTTACTATATTGGGGTCTCTGAACTTCTGTGCATTTGCCAGAATTTAATAAATTCCTTTTGCTTTCCAGCCATTGAGATGTTGGGGAAGAGAAATAACACTGGGATTTGCTACCATGGCATTTGATGTGAAGAGAAATAAGAAGGTGCTGTCTATAATACCAGGGGGTAGGGGTGGAGGGCTATTTTAGGAGCGTTTAGGAAGGATTATTTCAGGTTTCCATCCTGTAACTCAAACCTATGAACACGAAAGCCACTATAAATCACTCACCATTCACAGGATCAATTGAAAATTCCTTAGAAGAGGAAAGGATTCTGTAAGAAATGTTCTGATTGCTTTCTAAGTCTGTGGCTGCCACAGTCAGCACAGAGTGCCCCAATGACACAGATTCAGGGATGGTGACCTGAGGGACAAAGAGAAATGGACATCGTGCTTAAAGGCTATAGATATTTTCACCATCAGGGCCAGAATGTGAGATCATTTTATTCATTTTGTTCATGGAAATACACAGAAAACTTGACTTTATTAGGCAGATTAATTTATAGAGTTGACATATTAAGAAGATTGTGTTAGTCCCAGAATTCAGAAAAAAAAAATTTTTTTTTAATTTCCTTCAGTTTTTATTTTTACTATGGAAAAAATTTCCTTCTAAATTATTTCTGTGTGGAAGAGGATAGCTAATACATTCACTAATATATTGTTACATTGTACATTGTATAATTATGTACATTGTGTAATTTAGCAAGCCTTAGCAGAAGATCATTGCTTGAGTTAGTCCTATGTTGACTCATAAACCTTGCATTTGCTACATTCAAGAGTCCTGGAGCCCATTTCCAATTACTGAGTTGAATGCTATCATTGTCCTTCTTCTATAAACAGATACTATGCTCTAAAAACTAAAATTTTCACTTTACAGTTTTGTTCATGATTTGTTTCTGCAAAATGTTAATCAGTATATTCCAAAAATACGCCTAGGAAAGAAAAAATTTTCCCAAATTAACTGGAGATAACCCAAACTATCTTATTGTCTTATCTGTGGCAATTTGTAAATATTAGGCAAGTTCCAATTGTTATGAACAACTGGATCCTAAAACTAGATCCCTAAAACTAGAAAAATGATGACATACTTTCCTATGATGACATATGATACATACTTAAGAAACTGAATTGAATGAGATATTCAATTCCATATGTACTTCTATCCTCCATGATATTAAATATAAAATCCTCAGCATCAACTTAGGCACAAAAACAGTGAATACTGTCTGCCTAAATTAGTCTTTCAACAATGGTAGGCTTACATTATTCTCTGTTCTTTCTAGTTTTGGATGTGGTTTCAGCATCTCTTTAAGCTCTTTACCTGGTAAAAATCTTGAGAAAATACTGGTGGGTTATCATTGACGTCCAACACATGGACAACGAGTGCTCCCTCTGTGTGGTGCACCAAATCAGAAATTTGGATGAGCAGCTCATATTCAGTGGCTTCTTCAAAATCCAATGTTTTCACTAGCACCACTGTTCCAGTGGTCTGATCAATAGCGAACTTGGTTCCAGGATTACTCTCTTTGGCAAAACTGAAGATGAAAGCTGGATTCAAATCCTCGTCATGAACTGATATCTGAGTCACAAGTACACCAGGCAAAGAATCTGAAATAGTCATGATCGATGTCAGTCTCCATTAAAATTCATCCTTTGAAATACTTTTCTTTAATAGTTCAATCCAAGCATTTTTATGTAAGTCCAACATGATTTGCTGTTTCTTGGCATGGTTTCTCATACAAAGCCCGTTATGAACTGAACAAAAACTCTGAAGAATTTACGAGCCCAATAAAAGTGAAAATTTACCATTGAGTAGGGAATCGAGGAGGTAGATATATTCAATTTTTTTATTACACTTTTCATCATATGCTTACAACAGAATTCCAGGACTAAGAAACATTCTATGCCATTTATTTGTACTATAAGGTTTCTGTATCAAAATCATATATTCATGGGGGATGTGAGTGGGAAGAAGGTTTACTACTCAAAATGTTAATACAAAACACAAAATTGGGAAAAGTAGGCAAAATTTAAATGAAAATGCTTGGATACTGAAATTAGAAATAGATAATTAGTTCCTTGTACTTATTTTTGTAAAATTATTTCTTTTGGAGTGGCACATATACTGCTGCCTTCTCTTTACATCTGACTCACAAAATTATCAAGACTAAAGAAAGTATACATCATACTGCGATGAAAGCAAATCTCTAATATTATTCACCAAAAAAAATCACAAAAGTAGATGACATGCTAAGTATCTCACACACTATATGTGTTCTCTAGCCTAAACTGCCATGAAAGGGACTTTGGTTTTAAGCTGATAGGTATGTACAGGTAGAAAGAAGATGCCAAGATCTTCAGAATAGTTCCACTGTATACGAGACTCATAATTTTCATATTTCAAGCTTGAACATTCTTGATGTGCACCAACCACACTTCACCCCATCAGCATGTTTTGATTTATGCAGTTTGTTCTTGTGATATATTTATACTTGGTGCATTGCTGCATTTTGATGTTAATCCATGTGCTTTAGAAGAGTACCTTCAGTAAAAGCAAATGAAAATATATCAAATAGGTGAGAGGCAAAACTGGACAATTTTTTATTGGTAGAATATTTCATAATATTTAGAATATTTGTAGATATCCCTATATGCAGAAGTTTCTGGAATATATCTCTCTGTGAGCAGTGATGGTTTTAAGTTGTTTGGAAAGTAAACATAACAAAAAGTGAGAAACATTTAGGAATGAGTTGGGTATTAAGAGTGAAAGGAGAGAGGTAAGTGAGGGGGCACCAATATTTGCAACTTCAATTATAAAGAATTGGTTGGGTTTTACCAGTACAGCCATAGACCACAGTCAACTTTGGGACTATAGACTATGGAATCATTGTATAACCCAGAGACCCAAACAGCTAAAATTTATCAGCATATCACGTAAAATTTTATATTATCAACCTCTATCATTAATGCGGTAAAATTTTTCTGCAAATGTTGGAGTTTAGTTAACACTAGAGAAAAATGATGACTTTGTGTGACAAACATCCAATTCCCTTCACTTATTACTTGTCATTAGTATACTGCAAAGACTGACAAAGTTAGTCTAAGAACATTGCCTCTTCTCAGAGGAGCTTCAGGATGATCATCACAGTCAACAAAAGATACTTTTTCATAGAGTAGATTTCAGTTTTAAGAAATGTCTGTACACAAAAAGAAGCTATGTGGAATTGTGGTTTGAACATGGGAAATTGGCCTGCTGATCTGAATGCAAATCCCAACTTTAACATTTAACATCTTTGACATTCGATATTTAACTTTTGACCATCTGTTTTCTATTCTGTAAAATGAAGATAAAAAATCTATCTATGTTGTATGGTTGTTGAGGATTAGTACTCATATTTAATACAGCACCTGGCTGAAAAAATGGTAGATGACACTATACAAGTTAATCAAAACCACTATTTCAATTCACCACACTTACTTTCTGCAATTTCCACTGCTTCAGAGGGGAGAAAAGCCGGGGCATTGTCATTTATATCAGTCACCTGTATCTTGATCACACTTGTACCAGAAAGTCTGGGCATCCCTTTATCTGTGGCTTGCACAATCAAGCTGGTTTGGAAAAGAATCAAGGAATGTTATCCATCATCCAGAGAATAAGAAAAACAACATAAATATCAAATATCCAGTTGAAAATTTAAAAATGAGCTGACTAGCTACTTTTATTTCTCCCCCTGGATTTTCTAAATGGCATCATTTAAAATTTATTTCATAAGAATGGTAACCTGAAATTTATTTATTTTTGACACATTTAGAGAATCAAATCCAGCAAGCCACCAGGCATCATGAGGCCCTTAAAACAAATGGGCCATTCCCGGAAAACAGACTGTAAAATTCACTCCTTTCCCACTAAAAACAACTTGAAAAGTACAAATACCAATATCTATTCTTTGGATAAGTAGATGGCCTCCACCTTGTGCCACACATGGCCTGGATATTGCTACATATTTCCATTTTAATGCACCAAGAAAAGACAGAGCCACTAAAAGATTGCTTTGTATTGATATTTTTTTCAGATCCAAATTGCAAATCAATCAAAATTGTAGAATTAAGAGAGGACACTGTCGTGATTAATACATGTATGAAAGATGCATGATTGGCTAGGACTATAGAGTAGAGGTAAAAGTCCATGATCTGGAAGAATTTACATGCAGTAATTCAACCTCTCTTGGATGATAATACAACTAGCTTCTCCTGCAACCAAGTTAGAAGCCTTATTAGTGTCTTCGACTTCTCCCTTTCTGTCACCACTCTTCCAACATCCAACTAATTATGAGTCTTATAGGTTTTACCTCCTGAATATTGCTTGGATCAAGTGTTCCATCCATTTCACCCCTACCTTCAGAGCCTCAGATAGACCCATCAACCATCCTACTCTCCAGGGACTGAAGGGCTTCCTGGGATATGGGACTTTCAGTTTTTTTTTAAAACTGGGACAGTCCTGGGAAAACCAGGACAAGTCAGTCTTTGTAGCCTCATCCCCTCATCATCTTTACCTGGAATTCTGGATATTCATTATATCCTTTCTCAACTGGAGCACTTGCTACACACCAATCTCCCTACTGCAAGTCTCATCTGCTCCTATCCATCCCCCACATTGCAAGTCAATTGCTGTTATCTAGAATCCTAATTTGAAAACCTGACTGTCTTATTTAAAAACTTTCTTTGGCTGTCCATGGCTACAAGAAGTAGTTCAAGCTTCAGCACATGCACATGACCTTCTATGATCTGGCTTCTGCCTGGAATCCTGTCTCTACATCCTCAAAGCTCACATCTCTGGTAAGCTTCACTGATCTCTCAGCTGATTTGGATGTCCCTTTCTCTATCCCCTAGCACCTTGTACAGTTGTCCTTTCATATCCGTGGAGGATTTGTTCCGGGACCCCCTGCGGATACCAAAATCTGTGGATGCTCAAGTCTCTTATATAAAATAGTATAGTATTTGCACATAACCTATGAACATCCTCTCATATACTTTAAATCATCTCTAGATTATTTATAACACCTAACACAATATAAATGCATATAAATAGTTGTTATACTGTATTGTTTGGGGAATAATGACAAGAAAAATAAGTCCATACACGTTCAGTACAGATGCAACCACTGCAGGCCTTTCCATCCGAGGTGGGTTGAATCTGCGGATGCAGAACCTGCAGATACTGACAGCCAACTGTATATTCTTCTGCCATAGCAATGATCACCTTTTGTTCTTAATGATTTATTTGTCTGCCTCTCCCATAAGTTCCTTAAAGACTTACCTTATTTGGTTTTCTTTAATACATGTTGAGTGCTGTTCTCTCAAGATTTGTCTAAGATTATAAATGTATAATAGGACAGAGCCAGGATTCAAGCCCAGGTCTTGGTGGACTGGAAAGCTTGTGCACTACTATACGAGACTTTCCACATGCCTCTCTTACTGTGTATATATCACACCCCAATGTATAATCATTAGTTTTTCACTCTCCTCCAAACACTGTGAATTCCAGGAGGGTAGCTGAGTAATAAAGTGAGTTGTCAATCAGAAGATGATCTTTATTTCAGAAGTGGTATCAGTCTTAGCTAGTTGTCGACACTACCTTTTAAGAAACAGACTTGGAAGTTGACACACTTCTACTTTCTTTTCCATTGTTAGCTAACCTGAAAAGTGTCTATCTTTCCAACCTTAAATTTTAAAATGATGTAAAATAAGAATCAACTCTTTCTTGGTTTAAAGTCCACTTAATAGCAAATGATCTCTGCTTATCTACTGTTCCCAAAGCACACCGGCTGCCTTCTACACTATCAGAGTTGGGACATCAAGTAGAACAACTACTTGAATTTCACACTTCTGAAGCCTACGAATAATTCCATATAGAAAGTTTGTTTTGTTAACATAAACGTTAAGTCAGGTACATATGGAAAAATTTTACTAAAAATAATCAACTCATAATGTTCTCTGCCCCTGCTGTCTGCCCCTCCCCTTGTCATAGTAAAGTCTCAGCCAAGACATCAAAGCTATGGCTCTGTCAATTCTTCCACTATAACCATAACCACCCTATTTTCACAATGTTACAACTTCAGGAGTTCTATGTAATGCCTATGTCAGGTTAAAAAAATTGTGATTATTTGATATGGAGGGAAATATTCAGTTTCAAAATAAAAGGACAAGTAAAAGGTTTTTCAATGGTGTGAAGAACAAATGAAAAATTATGAAGGCAGATCCACTGAGATTCTACACATAACTCCTGCGAGACCTCAAGTTTTCTATGATTGCTCCTTGGCAGTCTTTGTAAAACTATTGGTTGTAGCCAGTCCAGCTGGCTCCATGTTCCAGAACTGCTGCCTTGATTAGTTTATCAGCAGAGACTATAAATGAAACTGACCAGATTTAAAACAGGCCCATTCTAGTTCAGAGCATATTTCCCCTATTTCACCAAGCATGGGAAGCTTCTTTTGCCATGCAAAACTTTAAATGAGACTTTAAACAGGCAGGATCTTTTCTGATTGTCTTAATAAATACTGAAGATGGTGGTAAAGGATTTTTCAACTCTCTCTCAGCAGTGTCTTAAATGTCTACCGAGAATTAAGTGTTCCTTCTGAAACTCTAAGAAAAACAAAAATAGCAGCCAACATCAGAAACACCTACGAAAAGAAGAGCTATGACTTCTGGTTATATCTATACAGGTTTATCTCTTCTTCCTTCTGAGAACCTACTATCATGATAGTAAAAGAAATTAAAATAAGGTATATGTCCATAAGGCTAAAAAGAAAATGGGAGGAGATATTAGTGGGTGGAGTGAGTGAGAGGTCTCTACAAATTTCTGGAAAATGCAAGCAGATTAAGGAATGGTTACAGATAAGTGGGTCAGAGGAAATCACAGATTAAAATGCATGATGCAAAGGGAGATAAGGATGAGTGAGAAGTAGATGTGCCTCCAAGTAACCAAGGAGAGGCTCAAGACAAGGCAAAGGGTGGGGTGAGATATCAAGGTAAAAACAGCTTGAAGATTATTTTAAACTCAAAATACAGAACAATCAAATCCCCTTGCCCATTGTTCTTCACTCCCAGGCAAAAGTATGATGTTCATATTCAGGGAAAGTAATATTGAGAGACTGTCCCTACAGAAATGAAAGCCCCTCCCAAAGAAAAAAGAACTCTCTATACACTGTCATTTGTATGTCATCCTGCAAAGAAGTCAGTTTCCTCTCTGGTTCATGTGAAGGTGAAGTGTGCTGGTCAATAGCTCTGGCAGCCCACTCAGGGATTCTCACGACTTTGCTATCTCCTCATTCAGAACCAAGGATCATTGGTTACTTACAGAAAGCCTCCAACATGAAAAAAGAGAGTGCAAAACACACAAAGAGAAGAAGTGAACCCAAAGGAAACAGAGATCTTCAAAGAACAAAAGAAAATGTAAAAACAATTCTAATTAATGTCCTTGGAGAGCTATCAGAAGGTAATACATGTGAAGCTGGGTATCTGAGGATTATTGTAAATATTCAATAAGATTACCTTTCGACCTTGTTATGAAAAGAAGTTAATCTTGTCAATTTGCCGTTTTCCTGTTTAACTTGAGTGGTAACTCAAGGGTCACAAGGATTTATGAGCTTGTTTTACAGAAGAAAGAGAACACCTTCAAGGATCACCAGATAGCCAGCCCCCAGCTGCTATTGACGCCCAGAAGTCAGATTGCCCAGGGGCTTATTGGGAGTGAAAGATACATGGATTACCCCTTTGTTTCTCTGAGACTCCTCTTGACACATTCTTTAGCTCTATAAAACCCCCAGCTTTCTTCTCTTGTTAAAGTGGATTTGAGAGAACCCACGCTCCTGCCTTCTCCTTTTGGCCAATTCAAATAAACCTTTCTCCATCTCGAAGCACTGATGCCTCAGTGTTTGGCTTACTGCACCTGGGGCACACAAACTTGGGATTAAGAGGTTCCGTAACACATGCATAAAACAAGAACAAGACACTGTGGAAAAGCTCAAAGATCAAGGAAGAGCTTTTGGAAATAAAAAAATATATAATATCCCCTGATTTTTTAACTAGAAAACAAAAAAGAAAATTTAGAAGGCTAATGTTAAGGAAATCTCCCAGAAAAATAAAACAACAAAAATCAACCAACACATAAAACAAGAAATGGAATGCAGTAAATAAAACATTACTGATGAAGGATCAATCCAGGCAGTCCAATGCTTGATTGAACAGGATCCAGGAAAAAGGAACATGGCAAAGTAAACAAACAAACAAAACAAAAAACAGAAGGGAGCTAATTATCAATGAAATAACACAAGAAAATAGAAAGAAATATTTCTCCTTATTTAAAGAGCACACCAAGTACTCAGCACAAGGAAAGACCCACATCAAAGTATTTAATCACAAAATTTCTAAATATTATGAATGAAGAACACAGTTTGAGAGTTTCCTCAGAGAACAAAAAAACAAATCCTATACCAAACATATAATTGGAATGACATCAGACTTCTCAACAGCAAAACTGGGTTGTAAAAGATAACAGAACAATGCCTTCAAAGTTCTAAAAGAAATTTTCAACTTCTATACTATCCATT